AATAGTCCTTTTTACAGTTGTGGGCTTGGTGGCCAAGCCTTTGAACAGGAGTGAGGCTAAGGGTGACCCTGTTGTGATAGAGACTTGTATCTAGTTAGCATGATAACAAAGTAATTTGCATTTGAAAAGTAGCAACATCTCTATCATAACAAGGTCACCCTAAGCCTCACTCCTGTTCAAAGGCTTGGCCACCAAGCCCACAACTGTAAAAAGGACTATTTCCTGCTGAATCAGCTGTTAAGGTCATGAGAATAAAGGAGGTGATCACCAACTTAAGAAGCTTTGATTGCTAGAGAAATTCTCCTTTTCAGTACCAAAGGAAACATAGACAATAGTATGGAGAATACAGATACTGAAGTTAATAAGGTGGTTGGAATTGGCTTTTGATTCATTTCAAACTTCTTCACATCAATTTTTTTCAAACAATTTATTTACTTGTCAATCGCTTAAACTTCTCTTTGGCAACCTTACAGATAATTCTTGAAAAGCATGGGGAAAAATTAACTTTGCAAACAACATAGAAATATTTCTTGAAGCTTAAAAATACATTAATGTATGGGATTTAATATTTTAGAAGTCTGAAAGTTTTCTGACACTTTTGTGTCTGTGCATAATGTGAGAGCAAAACTTTGTTTCTTGGGAGAATAAAATGAAAATCTAGTTCTTAAATATAGAATCTTGCATCTATGTTACAAATATATTAGCTTTTTAAACTTTCAATAAAGTAATGAAGCCTATCCAGGCCCTCTCTTAATGTGCTTTTTTCTTCTAGAAGTTTCTTCTTGGCTTGGACAAGGTTCTAAAAAGAAAAAAAAGCTCTTTAAATGGATTGAGTAAAGTTTATGAAACAGATGTGACAAAAATAATAATTTAAAATACTTTGAGAACTTCCAATCAATTCTCTTAAGCCTTTGTATCCCAAATGTGATCAACAATAATTAACAACTATTCACCAAAGTGGAGGTGGTTAGTGGTGGATATTTACCGAGCCGTGAAGCGGTGAGGTAAATATCCACCGCTAACCACCGACACTGAGGTGAATAGTTGTTTTAGTATATACTAAAACAGTGAGATAATATACACCACTGTCGTTAATTTGAGTGATTTCTTCGCTTGTCTCGGATGCAAACTGGGATGCCACTTTTTCCCGAGTTGCTTGGAGGTAAATAGCAAAGGATATTCGGAGTTTGACTAGCCAATCAGAACGCACCTTCAACGCTATCCACTGTTTTAGTATATACTAATTATTATTTATTAACTTCTCCCTGTGATTCCAATACTTGTAATTTTGCAAATAAGTTATGAGAACAGACAGGCTTATCAGCCAGAAGTCATCATGATGTAACACCAAACTCTCCCCTCTAATTTACAAGAAATTACATAGCTGTCAGAGGGAAGAATTGCTCATTGGATCTTGGAAATTAAAGGGTTAAGCATAGTCATCAAAGGAAATAGCAGGCAAAACAAATGTTACTGCTAACAATCCTTCAAATGTTCTAAAATCTTTATCAGGACATGTGCTTGATGCAGGATGTAGAAGGCCCACAACAAATGAATTAGTCGCAATGTATTGATGAACTCACAGTATTTGAGCAACCATCATTGAATAATAAGCTATCAGGTTTGCAGTATTTTTCCCTGCATCTGAATGATGGGAAAAAAAAAAGGAAAGTTTCTTTGACCAATCATACAGAGCAGTTGCAAGCGTAAACCCAATTCAATGTGGTCATAAATTACTTTTGACAATCAATTAAAATTTTCTCAGTCCCCAGCTTTAAACTTACTGTCATTTGGAGATTTAGAGCCTGTGCCTCCTCACTCAGGGAAACGTTTGTGGTTTTTAACAAATCAGCATTGTCTTGGAGAACACCTATTTCCAAACTTCTCTCTGCAACAAAAGAATTGGAAGAGAAAAAAAAACTGGATTAGTACAAAATGGAAAAAGGTAAAGGATGTGCATAAGCCATGTGGCCCATATTGTAAGAGCTTATTTCAGTGTCAGCCATTAAGTGGCAAAGGGTTCGAATATTTAAAATTTAGTCATCTTGAAATAATCCTTAGCCTGTTTAGGTCACAGCATTAACAAATCCTAACAAAGAAAGAATCTGCTACGACTCAATCAATTTGATTTTAAATGGAACAAACAAATTTCTCCAATTGTGATTACAGCTAAACCAGCCTTAAAATACTGATCTTCCACCTTCCTTTGCCAATTCAAAAGTTGAATATATTTTACACACCTCAACTACACATTTGTATGTTAAATCTCCACAAGAATCCTACCTGTCGCATGTGTATAGTAAGATTGCATGACAGCCTCAATTCCAGACCACTTGAACCCTTCCTTTCCTTGGGATGATGAGTGCTGCTCATTCTTAAATTAAAAATTGAGAAATCACACCAAGTTAAATAAATAAATAAAATTGTGGATTTATATTGCGCCGTTTCCATGACGGGATGATCAACTGCACATTAGAACAATGCATGGAATAAATACTAATTACATCATTACAACAATGCATGAAATAAATACTAATTACATCATTACAACAATGCTTTGTAATAGATGCCAGTTACATCATGTGTAGTATAAAATATTAAAAGCTGAGCTAACTAAGAATAAAAAGCCTTACTAAAAAAAATGCGTCTTTAAGAGATAGTTTCTACAGGGATAAGCTTTCTCTCTCATCTTTTTCTTAATGGCACATTGCTTGGCTGTTTATGAACAAAAGATTTGCAAGAATCTTTGATGAATTGCTTGATATTGAGTTTGCAACTAGATTCCACAGTTTAAGTACAAAAGTTATATTATGTAAAAGATTTTAGGGTCACATCATCAAAAATAAAACGCTGTGATAATTTGCCTAAAAGTATTCCAAAATGCGTAATCCCTTTGTGACTTGTAACAAATCTTAATTCTATCCTAGGCTGCAACACAGACACGACTATTTTTAACCAGTTAAAAGTGTAGCACAGTTTAGTTAAGTGATACAGATAGCAATTTTCTCCAAATTAAAATCAGTTTGAGAGGGGTATGTCCCAATGTCTTCAATCTCATCAGGACAGGAACAAAACTGATCTAACCTTGGAGGGTTCTCCTTGTTTATTTCTAATGCTATGCAGCTGGTCTGACAAAGGTAACGGTCCAAACTGACGTCCTTGCATACTAGTTGGGTGCTGAGAAAGGTAATCTCTTGTCTCTTGTTCACTAAAAGTTATCCCCACACTCCTAAGGGGCTCTGGGCGGATAGGTTGTGTCACAGTTCTGTGGTCAGCCCTGGCATGAGAGGTGGCATTCCCACGTTCATGTGAGATTGACAAGAGCCCCGTGTGCCGAAGATACGGTGGACGAAATTGTGATGCACTGATGTTGCTAAAAGGATCTTCCATATTTGTAAGAGACTGTAGAGTTAGGCGAGGAGGAACATGGTTGGAACTACTGCTCATGGTAGGACTTTGTCGAAATCTTTCATCACTGCTGCGACGAAAGGGTCTATCAAATGGGTAAGAAGGAATCCTTTTTTCAGCCTCCTCTATTTTTATATTAACTGGTTGCTGTTTTTCTACATCTTTGTTTTTGTTTTCCTTTCGTTCCTGCTCCTGTAGTAGCTGTTGCTTTTGTCGAGTTATTGGTCCGGTTATTGTGTCTGGGTCCAAAGAACCTTGGCTGTTGTCAGAATCTCTGTCATTCTAGAATATAAAAAGAATAATTTTACAGTCAATCAACAACCAGACTCTAGAGAATGCAGACCAAAATAGGCCTTCATAAAAAAATTTCCATCATAAAATTATAATTGAAAAATCAACCGAAATTATAGTTGGATGCTTGGTTGCCAAGCCTTTGAACTACAGTGAGGCTTGGGTGGCATTGTTATGATACAAAAACTGCAGCTTTTGAAATGTAAGTTACAATTTTGTTAACATGCTAACTAAATACAGGTCACCTTCAGCCTCAATCCAAATCAAAGACTCAGCGAGACAAGTCCAGCAAGAAAATACAGTATTGACCGATGGTTTATGCATAGTTAATAAAACAAGGAACCATCTACAATAACCTACAATGATCTACAATGATCTACAATGACCTACAATGAACTACTGTAAGATCCCTGTAATGAAGGAAATGAAGATTTTAGAAAAAGGCAAAGAGAAAAAAACAGGAGACGTGTGCATTAACATAATGTGTTTGCTTTTTGTCTACCGAATAACAGGCCAAATGATAACAGAATTTCTAGCTAGGAGATAAATTTATGGTGTATTATAATGAGACATGTATAATGACGAAAATGATAAATAAAAAATGCAAAAAACCTTTGGCTTAAGATGTCTTTGAGGGTCTTATAATTATAACAAGTCTCTCATAATTTCACACTATCATGAGGCTTTGAGTCATATTTGGCCTGTCAACTCCTTGCACTCATTGATATTTTTAGATCAAAACCATTAATAAGATCATGTATCACAGTGCCGCGAGACTATGAGACATTTTGGCCTGTCAACACCTTTAACTCATTGATATTTTTAGACAGCAAAACAAAAAGGTCATCACACCATCATGAGGCTATGTCAGTCTTCCTTGGCACCATGCATTCACTCTTTTTACCCATTCTGTGTCATCTTAAGTTGCTGCTGTCTTGTGTAAATATCTTGTGCGGAACAGATCATAAGCTTGATTCATGGAATAATCGTGGTAAGTTTATTAATTAGGTATCTTTATTTAAACTTTTTCACCTAATGACAAACCCATGTGCAAAGTCACGCAAGTCACACCACAATTTTTTGTAACATTCATAATAGCTCATTGTAGCCCACTGTAGGTCATTGTAAATCATTGTAGGTCATTGTGGATCATTTTAGGTCATTCCTTGTTCCCACGGTAACTCATTGTAGGTCATTGTAGATCATTGTAGGTCATTCCTTGTTTTAGTAACTACGATGGTTTATGGCCTAAGCTTGAAATGACGCACTAACCTCTTTATCCCTTCGTGCCCTTTTTGGAGGACGGCCTCTACTTTTCCGGTTCTTCCTTTCATTTCTTTTGACCTCGTATGTTTGCTCCAGCTCTGCAGGTAAATAATCAACATTACTAAACAGTTGAATTGAGGGGATCATACATGGCTCAAGTTTACGCTTTAACTGATCTCACCCATCATACATGTTGATTTCCAATTACTTATCGGAGCATTCTGCAGAGGAATGATTATTTCGCCTGCCTCAAATAGTCACTTGACTCTCACAATGCCTTTCTGAGCCAAAAATTATAAACAGGTTCCAGTGAAATGACAGGGAAACCTGATGGACTGCTAAACAGCAAACTGCAACTTCCATCTTATTTGGGAGGGGGGGAGGGGGGGGAGGGGGAGAGAGTTGCCATTCTGAAAGTTGTTTCCTTTTTTTTTTATAGAAACTTAGATACACTTTGGTAACTGCAGAGGTCAGTCTTTACAAACCTATAACCTATTCACACCAGACTGTATCACTGGAGAGACAGTCTGTGATACAATTCACATTTTGTAGTTAACATTACCCAACATTCAAATTGACTAAATAGCTGTGTTCAACTATTTATCATTTGCTAGCGTGAAAACACACCTGCTATGCTGGCTATTATTAGTAAGTAAAAGTAGTGAGTACTTGTAACAAACTTAGGAAAACATTTTAACTAGTAGGATAATTCAATAAACCTGACTGTAGTTCTAACCATTTTCACTGCATTACCGTAGGGTAGGACTAGAATGGAACATAATTATGTGATACATGCGAGTAGTCCACCCAATAAATCCCACCCATCCCACCCCAGGGGAGGACATCCATCACACAGTAATCTTGTGTGTGGGAAACTAACGTCT